TGGATGGATTGTGTAAGCTATTTTTCCATATATATCTATATTACATGGAAAGTGGCTGATGGTTGGTAGGGGTGTTTTCTAATTTTCAGATGGATTCAAGTTTCAAAAACAGTATTGAGAAAGTAGTGGTTGTCTTGGAAGAACAGATATTTTAATCTAACCTAATGGAAAATCCACAATTATAAGCATTAACAATGAAGGAAACTTAAATATTGGACCACCCTTCCAAAATCAATGGTCTTGGAAGTAATATGTGAGCAGACCCAAAAGAAAAAGAAAAATCAAATCAACTAGCCTTCAACCAATAAAGGGGACAGACAGCATATTTTATATAATAACCTAGAACGTAATCAGATTGTCTGATCTTTTAATTAAAATTAATTATCCAAGTGATAATTTCCAAATCCCCCATTAGACAAGTGATGACTTTTTACAGCATTTATGTGAATACAAACCCTGAAAGTCATCAAGTGGGGTTGCCTAAACCATTTTTTCTTCCTCTTCCGCTTTCTATTGACAAGTCAAGGTCTTCCCTTCAGTCCAGGGACGAATAGAGAAAGGGCTGCTAAATAAAAATATCGTCTTTATCTTGTACGAAGAATTCTATTGGATTGATTCATAAAAAAATCTTGTATGAAAAATCAATAGTGGAATGAGGAATTAATTGAGTAATTTACTACAAATCTGTTTATAGTCAAAGAAGGTGCAGGATGAAGAAGATGGATGAAGGTCTACGTAGTTGTTGTTAGGTTGGTGAGGTGAACCATTTCACATTGGTGAGATGAACCATTTCATAGCTCTTTCACAGCATCATTGGAATCCAAGAAAAAATTTATCCCCCAATCTTTCTACGCTATAAGAAAAATAGTTTTTAGTAACAGAAATTTATGATGAATTTTAAAATCATCACTATAACTTATTACAATTGTAATAAATCTTAAAAAATAGGTCACAGATGCATACATATTTAATGATAATAAAAAAATTCATCATAAAAATATATTTCGTTGCTGAAAAATGTTCATAAAAATAAAATAAGTTTTTATTGATAAAAATCGTCACTATGATTCATTACAATTATAACAGAATTTTAATATTAGTCATATATGCCTTACACATTCAATAATGACTAAATAATTCATTACTAAAAATATATTTCGTCACTAAAAATTGTCAATTTTCTTTAATCAATACATCCCACATCGATAAAAAAACACATAAGAGAGTAAGGTTTTGTACTATAAATATATCCTACATCAATGAAAAATATTTTAAAAAATAAATTTTTGCACTATCAAACATGTGAAGCTCAATAAAACTTGAGATTAGTTTAGACCTGATTAATTTTAATCGAACTTAATTAATTTTAATCAAAATTAATTAGTGTTGAAATAATAATATTTTTTATTAAACTTTTGTGATAAAATTATATATTAATTTTTTGTGACAAAATTTTTGTTACAATATTTGTGTTGTAATTATATAAATATATTTTTTTATTTAATATCAATTTTAATAATTAATAACTAAATTTTTTATCATAATTGCATTTGTGATTATTTTTTTGTCACTCAATTGTGACGTTTGTGATGAAAATTATTGTAACAAAAAATTTTTTTTGTGATGATTAAATTTGTTACAAATAATTCATTAATAATGTAGATTTTTTTTTGTGATAAATGTCAAATTCATCACTAAAAGCATTAATGACAAAAGTTTTACTAATAATTTAAATTTATCACTACCTTTAGTTTATGACAAAAAATAAAGGTTTAATGACTAAACATTAAATATGAATTTTCTTATAATGCTAGACTGTTCCGGGTCTTAGTTCATTACATCAGGAAATCGAGGTGGGTAACCTTTCACTAATTATAGGTGATAGCTAGCTGTCTTTGATTAATTTGAGGAATTAAGGTTCATTACACTTAAATTGAATCTAAAATGAGGGAATTATTTTCATTAATTTAGATAATTAAACGTCTTTTCATTTTAGAAACGTGATTTATATAAATAGAGTGATAAACTATAGAAATTTAAATTCGAGTCATGATAATGTTAAAAATGTGACAAGAAGAGCCATTTCTCACGGTGGTGAGGCTGTAACTCATCATTAAAAAGGAATGTATCCTATGCCAGATTATTATTGGTTGATTCTACGTCAACAATATAATTATTCCATTACCAATAACTTATTAATACGAGTTAAAGGAATTTGGTTTTTTTTTTAAGTAAAATCTTAAGTTCGAATCTTGTGAATGAAAAAATAAGTATTAGAAGAGTTTTCCTCTAATGAGAGCTGACGCGACTCAATTCCAAATTAGCAAAGATCCAATATAATTATCGGATACCAAAAAGTTAAAATAAATAAATAAATAAATATATATATATAACCATTGCATTGGAGAGTATGGCCAGAATGCCTCATCTTAGACTCTAGGGGTTGGGCTTCTATCCCCCACACCGACACCCTCAATTTTGGGAACAATCTAAACCCCTATGTAAATTATCTGAACCTCAATTTTGGGCCTAGGACAACGGGCCGACAACATCGGGTAAAGAAACTGAGCCAATTTGTTCATTCGGTTCTGTTGGGCCAAAAGCCCATTTCATTATTATTATGCTGGCCATAATAGGGCACAAACAGGCCTTATTTTTTGCTCATGGACAATGTCCTCACAGAGCCATTTTGGGCTTAACAAATATAGACTTCCTCTAAGAATATTTCTAGGTTATTTTAGTTTTTAGTTTTTAGTTTTTTTTTTTTAATTTAAAAATATATCAAATATTAATTAAAATAAATATTAGATATACATTTTTTTTATATTAAAATATCAAAAAACTTTCTGTTATAGTTACAGGACAATACTCCCAAATCAAGCCATGGTGTATATTGTATTTGGGAAAGAAATTTTGGAGAAGCCAGATCTTTTGGTGTAGGACGAGCCTACCCCAGCCGAAGAGGCTATGAAAATATTAGAGATTAGTTGTTTAGTGTTGTAAAATTTTAAATCATTAACTTCAATTTTATATAAGATTTTTTTAATTAATAAATATTAATTTGACTGAATTTTTATTAATAACTATACCTACAATAATTACAATAGAACAGCACTTGTGGAGAGAAGGTCAATAATTTAGTTTGTCTCAATCGTAATGTCCAAACAAGACATTAAATCAAGTTGTGCTTTAGGTCCTCTTATCTTCAAATGTTTTGTTCTCGTCCAATAACAGGAACTCGTCTTGGTGTAGCCTATTCTGTATTTTCAAGGGATAAAAAATAAGACAATATCTTCCGACATTCGTAATGCTAACCTAGATTAACCTATCTGTCATCTTCCAAAACATGTCTGGAAATGGCAGCAGTGGTCATAACCTTAGGAAAATCATTGACAGAGTATGCAACCAGATTTAAGGGGGTACCACAGTGAAAGAATTAACATCCCTCTTCTAAGATAAATAGTTTTTATAAATATATAATTAGGGTGCCAATTCCCTTTTTTGTTTTAATAACAGAAACTGGAAAGGGTGCCCAACTAGTTGGACTAAGCTAATATTCCTAATTAAGAGTATATTTGATAAAGTTTGTAAGAGTTTTTATTTTTTTATTTTTTGTATTGTTTATGAGTAATAAATTTAAATTTTTATTGAAGAGAAAATTTAAAAGTTATTTTTAGAAAAAGAAAATAATGAGTAAAAAAAAGTTTATAAAAAGTACAAATTTAAAACTTTTCAAAATTGACTGTTTAAAGTTTTTTTAAGATAAAAAAGAAGTTAAATTAAGAGGAAAATTTAAACTTACGAAATATAAATAATATCAAAAAGCTGAAACTCTTACAAGTTTTACCAAATATGCTTTAAAGCAACCTGCAACTGGAGCTAGGGTTCTTTGCACTTCGGATGGACTAATTTTTAACTATTTTTTTATTTAATTTAATTTAATTAGATTGAAAAAATGTAAAACTAATTCAATCTAATTAGTATACTACAACCAAATCAATCTAATTATTATTGAATTAAATTGATCGGTTTTGTCTCAAAAAAAATATTTTAAAGAGTTTGATTATATTATTTTTTCTTTTGTAAATTTTAATTATACAAAAATAAAAAAAAAAACCAAATAAATTTGTAATAGATAGAAATATTATATAACACAATTTTAGAGTTATGATGAATAAATAGTGAAAATATAAGAATTAAGAAAAATCTTTTTTTTTAATTAAATCTTTCAATATCAATTTGGATCAAATAGTCATAAAATAAAACTATAAATCAAACCAATGTAATTAATTTTTAATTGAATTGGTTTAAATATGAACACCCTTAATTAGAGCTAAGATTCAAAGTTGAAATTCTCACACTTATTTACATGTGAGTAAAAAAAATCTCATATAAAAAGTGAAGAATAAAAAATAAGTCGTTTATATATGTTCAAACCCATGAATTTTTTTTTTTTGAACATTTTAATCATGGGGCCAACTCAAACCGTTACCCTTAAGGAAGGAGATATAAACCTTATAAGAGTGACTAGAGCCATTTGGTCCACGAGGCCAGGTTCATTCAAACCCATGAATTTAATAGAATTGTCTTTTGAGTTTAAAATGATATTTTTATATATTAACCCTTTATTAAAGTGTTGCTATTGACCCAATTGTTCAGCCCAATGACACAAGTAGTGACCTAAACTCCTCAACATTTACTTTAATGCCAGTTTAAAAAATTAAAAATAATTCAATGAAAATACATTAATAAAATAAATACTTTTTTTATGAAATTAATAATAAATACTTTCAACATAGCGTGACAATAAATTTTATTAATTGTTTTAACTCAGTAAAATACTATATAAATTGACATTCTTAACTCAGTAAATACTATATAAATTGACATTTATCTATTTTCGTTTACGTACTGTTTGGATAGAAAATAGTAGAGGGAAGGGAGGGGGACGGAGGAAAATAGAAGGAAAAGGAGGGGAAAGAAAAGAAAGGAAAGGGAAGAATATGGAAAGAGATGATTTGTGTTAATTTTGTTTGGATAAATAAAATGAGGAAGGGGAAAAGAAGGGAAAAATTATATTTTTTATATTTGAATAATTAAGGTAAAATGAATGAAAGGATTTAAATTAATTTTAAATTTATAAATTTATCCTTTAAGATGAAAGAAGACAGTTTATAGAAATATATAAAAAAGTTAATTATGTAATTATCTTTAACTTAATCTAAATAATCCCTACAATCCCTCCCAAACCCCCCGATCGAAAAGATTGCAAATATGTAAAGTTAAGAGTAGTTAAAGGGAGTCTGAATCTGTCGATCTCCCTTCCCTTCTGCCTCTTTAGAAACCCAAATAAGAAGAAGGAAACAACCTCCCCTCACTCACCCTCCCTTATCATCCGTCCCCATCCCTTCCCCTCCCTCTCCATCCAATAACTCCAATCCAAACAATACGTTAATGTTGTATGGTTGACCTGATGATTTATCCTGGACAAATACTGTCAATGGTGAAAAGAAAATTGAAAATTTTTTTTTATAAAGAGATAATACTGGAGGCCTTGGAACAGTGCAGATGGATAATTGAAATGTCCTAATCAGCCGCAGAGGGATGACCCAGATATCCACACGACAGAGCAACGCAAGAAAAACAACAAAAACAGGTCACCAGGAGGTGACCCAAGGGGCCATGTTTTCTGCCTTTCCTAATCTTCGTCCCAGTCACACCACCTTATTTTTCTTAACTTTCATCATCACCCAGTCCCACTTTTCCTTCTCACCTGCACTTTCCCATGTCTCTATTGGCTATAGTTTGCCCTCCTTTTAGTCAAAAAGTAAAGGGTTGAAACATTGTTGAGTGCCGGATTCAAAGAAAGATAGAACTACTAGCACCTTTTTGCGTGATTGCTTTTGCATCAATTCAAAGTCTTTGAATTTAAGTACCCCCTTAACACAGGAAATACTCAATTGGATCTTTGCTTCTCTTCTTATGCAAGTGGGTCCTTAAATTCAATCCCCGTAATAAACTACTCTAATGTGACTCAATTCCTACCAAATTGGTCTTCCCAAATCGAACCCACCAGATTTATTGCTTTCTTGTAGACTCAAAAGGTAGGTACATTCAAGACAAGGAATTCTAATAATATTGCAGTTATGTAGACCATAATTACCAACTTCATTTTTTTTTTTTTTCCCTTTATGTAACTATCGTGTCCCTGAATCAACTTCCGCAGCTCCGCTCTCTTTCACAACAAGACACAAGATCATTCTTTAGAAAATTGCAAGTGCAAAACTGAGAGGGACCCATCTCCATATCCAAAGGTGAGATATCTATCCATAAAAACACATCATGAGGGATGAGACCTACCATGGTGTATTAGCCACGGTACCAGTGGCATAAATGAGAGATGGAAGGAAAATACCAGAGTGCTCACAAAAGTCAAGAAAACCAGGCATCTAGAATGCCAATGCTGGCCTCTTGGGCAGCTCCTCCTGTTCTTCCTCCGCTAGGTCTAAAATTATAAAACATAAGGGTCAAAAGATTCCTTGCCCATTTATCTAGTCTTTCTTCGACAGCTATAGCCTAAAGAAAGTTACTTTTGCCGTCAGATACAAACAAAACCATTTTTCCGAGGGCTCCATTTACTGCACTTCTTACAACGCCCATTAATGTCTTAAAGTAATTGAACTGATTTTTTTTTTTTTGGGTTCATTTAGATTCCTTGCATTTATGGTACAAAAAATAGAACATCTCAATTCACAATTGGATGTAAATTCAATGACTACCAGTCTTCCCCCCTACAATTTTTGGTGATCTCCATCATGAAAATTCATTACTACCCGGAAAAAGCATACTGTAAATTACAACCATAATTTAAGAAGAGAAAATCCGATTTTCTGTTAGGTCTTTCCTATTCAGCTTTCCAAGCATCCAAACAGAGGAGAAATGAAGACAACAAATATCAAATTTTATAATTGAAGGAAAGATTTATGTCATTCTTCTGCAAATTTCCAGCATTACATATTTCTTTCTCCTTCTTCACATAATGGTTTGGTTCTCATCTTCAACGCCAACAGTATGTAAAAAGCTTAAGAGAAGAGAAAAAAAAAAACTTAAAAAAATATTAATTCAAGAAGAAGAAGCCGAAGAACCTGAAACTCTGGGGGAGGTAGTTGGAAACAGGGGAAGCAACCTGGGTTCTGAATCTCGCGGCGTGGTGGACGGTGACGGATGCAAGTAAAAACCCTTCTCCTTTATAGCTTTCTCTTCAACTTCGGAGTTGAGCGTTGCATTGTTGTTGAAGCAATTGCCGTAATTCGTGGGTCCAGATCGGTCAAACGGGTCGGGTATCAGGGGAGTAACAGGGCTGAGAACAAGAGAAGGGAAGTCAAGAATGCTCGGAGAAAGGATCTCGGGTTTTCGAGGCGAAAACCCAGAATTATTTTGAGCAAACACTGGGTTAAGCGGGTTGATCTTGAGATTCTTGAGGGAATTCCTCCGTTCATAAAGCTTGAACCCAGATTGCTGCCTGTTCTTGTTGGGTATGGACTTAATAGGGGGAATATTATGTGTTTTGGGGTTCGGTTCAGGTTGGGAGGGGTTGGCGGGTTTGGTGGAGGAGGCAAGTTTGGCAGTCTCCGAGGATCCGGTGAGCATCTGGACAACTTGCTTGAAGGAGGAGGTGTCAGCTTGGACAAAGGTTGTCGGGTAAGGATTGGCAGGTTCGGATCTGGTGATGGGCTTGGGTTGTAAGGGTGGAGGAGGCGGTGGATTTATGGTGTTGGTGGTGGTGCTGCTGGTGCTGCTACTACTGCTATTGGGACTTTGAATTTTTGGGGATGGGAGGAGAGTTGGGATTGGACTTTCTTGGTGGTTTGGGGAGGGTTCCATTGATGGGTCTGGTTTCTGTTTTGCTTTGGAGATGGAGAAAGATGAGAAATGTTGAAGGAGAATGGAAATGGAGGGGAAGGAGAGGAGTGAGTAGATTAGATTAGAGGAGAAAGTGGAGAGTGGTTTTTCTGCTACTTTAATTGGTTTGGTAAGAAATGTTTTGGTTCCCTTTTTTTCTTTTTTTTTTTTAAAACGGGAGGCAACGTTTTGGTTCTCTCTAGTTGCGTAATTTTCGTTTCACACACCAGTTTTTAGCTGTGGTAGATACGCGTTCGCAAGATCCACTGCATTTTTCAAGTAGTACTTAAATTCAATTAAAGTATTTATTTTTAGATAGAAAATGATATAATTAAAATATTATGTGATAAATAAGAGATTTATATAAAATTTTAATTTTTAATTTTTTTATTTTTAATGATTCAAATTTTTTATAATTTTTTAGATAAAAAATTATTTTTAATAATATAAATTCAATTATTAAAAATGTAAAAATAAATAATTAAAATTTTGTGTATATATAATATATAAATATTATATGGAAATAAATCTCTCTTTTTATATGATATTATAATTTATAATTGACTTATTCTATTTGTAACTCACGTTTAATATTATATATATTCACTTAATTAAATAATAATATTATTATAAATTTACAATTATACATAACATTATAAATATATAATTTCTATAAAATTATACATACTTTAAAAGGGAACTATGCACTAGACAGTAAAAATAGAGATTATTGGATAAAGAAGGGCTTCCAATTTCAAAATCCATCTATATCTAATAATTAATGTAGTATAATTTCATAAAATTTATATTACACTACATTTTTTTTTCTGTTCTCAAATGCAATTTTTTATTTTATTTTATTTTATTTTTGCCCATCTTCTCTTAAATGTAGTTTCTTTGCTTGTGACGTAGCAAGTATACTCTTGCCTAAAAAACATGTGTGTACATTATCCAAGGCTTATGTGTAAATTTGTGAGGAAATTTAATTTTGACCTTGATAAACTTTTTATTTGGATATTATACAAAATTCCATTCACATTGTGCTTTTGATTAAAAAACTAGACAAAATGTGGTTTGGAACACAACGAAGTTGTCAAAGTTGGTTCAAATTCTCTACCGAAAAGGAATGGTTCAAAATTTTGGATATAGGTCTTTTGTACTCATATATATTTTATTAAGAGCCTGTTTTCGTTTCTTTTTCAATTTAATAAATCTTTTTTAATGGGTTAACAAAGGACTTCAGTGAAAAATTGATAGACATTAACTCAAAAAGATTTTAAATGTCTGTTTTTTTCGTGATATGTATAAGGTTAAAGTTCTTATTTGCACTCTACATATTTTTTTCTTTTGCATTCTATACATTTTTTTTTATGGTAAACATCTTAAATTAATTTTTGTTTTGATCAACACCCTCCACTATTTAAAATTCATGAAAAACTCAAAAATTAACTGTCAAACTTTTTATTTAGATCTTAATTTTGTGGTCAAACCTCTTATTTTCATAATAATTTTGTTAGTAATTTGAGATTTTTTTATGGATTTTAAATTATGAAAACTATTGATTGAAAGTAAAAATTATTAAAAGTGTTGATTGTGAAAAAAATAATAAATAAAATGCAAATAGGGAGTTCAACCTATGTATAATGTATTAGTAATTTTAGTAATTACTATGACTAAAGATTTTCAATTTTTTGCTTATTTGTAAAAATTAAAGGATTTTTTTAATATACTAAAATAATTAATTTGTTGAAGGAGGGAGACATGACATTATAACTGATAGAATACTGTCCATTTGGTTGGTAGCCAAAAGGGCTAACACTGCAAGGAGGCCAAAAAAAGGGATTAACCATGCAGGGTATGAAAATAAAACTTTATTTGATATAATAAATATAGAAATTTTTATTTTGTTAAGTTTGGATCGCAGTTTAACCTATGAAAATACTTAAATATTTTTATTGAGTAAAATTTATCAAGCGTATTTTAATATTCATAAAGCTCAGTTTTTTTTTTTTTTTTTT